ACACCAACCAAAAACGGGCCAGGATGATAAAGGTGAAAGGATGTTTCCTTTCTTCTCATCTTCACCTGACCTGCTAACGGCAGCTGTCAGAAGTAAGATCCTAAAGAAATGAGTCTGTCAGGGAGAGAGAGGTCTTCGTTTTCTCGCTATCCTTTTTGTGTGGTAATCCTCTGGCAGTTTGGGAAGATATGAATGCTACTTAAGTTAAGGAGACAGATCCTACACAAAAACTATGGCTTTGTTGGATTCCTGTACATTATGCGGCACTTACTGTTCGAAGCGAGGGACTCCTGCTAAACCATGCATCTTGAATTTGTGTTTCAAGGTGGTGTAGTATTTCTTCCTGCATTTCCTTTTTTCTTTTCAAGACACTGTATGAGTTAATCTGGGCTAACTAGTTGTGTACATTTTTCATTGGTTTTTCTGCCTCTAAGTCTTGACTTAGCAAAGTTTTGTTAATTAGTAACTATATAAAGAGTCAATACAGCTGGATTTTTTGTGTGTGGTAATCGTGTGACTTTGACAGAAGCAGAGAGAAAATTGGTGAGGTTCTGTCACCTAGGCTGGGTACACTAATAAAGGAAATGAGTAGTTATTTTAACACTTTGCTTCTATTTGAGAATTAAACGATAATTAAAAAAACAAACAACATTTGGACAACAGTATGGTGATTGTCAGCGGGAAAGGGGAGTGGGGCAGGTGGAAGAGGGCAAAGAGGGGCTATACGGGGGCAGAAAGAGACTGACTTTGGGTGGTGAGCGCAGAGCACAGTATGCAGATGATGTGTTATACGTTGCATGCTTGAGACCTGTATGGTCTTATTTATTAGCCAGTGTTACCCTAATAGGTTTTTTTAAAAAAGTATAAGAAATTCGTCATTTAAAACAAATGTGACCAATCTGTGGTGCAAAGAATATTGTAAAAAAAAATAAACCCAGTAGTATATCTTCTTTGCTTTTGAACTAGATTATAGCTATTCCAAATTTTTTTTTTAAAGGATGAATAATTAACCTTGAAGGCCAGTAAACAGTTCCCAACTCTTCATCAGTTTTCAAGGCTCCTTTAAAAGGACATCTACTGCCACCTAGCGTCTAACTCTTAGAATAAATAAATTACTGTATTTAGAAATGTAAAACTGATAGAGCCACTTGGTGGCACTATGGATAAGCACATTAAAGGCACAACTTCTAATCTAGGTACTGCTTGTTTTATTTCTGTTTATCAGAGTTTATTAAATGTGACAAATACATTATTTTCCTTTTCAGTGTTATGTTTTCTAAGAAATATGACACATTTTTGACACTGCCGTTTAAACCCTCCTAAGTCAGGAGAAACCTAAACAGTTTCAGATTTAATTCCTGATTTTTGAAGTTTTAAGTCTTTAAATAGTTCTAATTAGGTTGCCCTTTTATCCTTCTCCCCTCCATCCACATATCTGTAATCACTAAGTGAAAATAGGCAACACGTTTCCCATGTAATCCAAAAGAAGAAAGAAAATGAACTCAGATGAAACTGTAGTGGGGCTCTTTGCATTTAGAAGGGGTGATGGCGATGGGATAACTTCTGTTTTAAGCATTAAATCTAGTGTGAAAAATGTACTCCCTAACAAGAGCATCTACCTGAGGTAACGATTCATTATAAAGTGACACACAGCTTGGGTCCAGAGAAAGGGAGAATGCTACTATGAAATTTGTGTAATTCATTGTGAGCACACTTGAGGTCTAATTTTGTTTCTTATACCATTAAAATTGGTGGTAGTAGCAATGGGGAATGAAATTCATTCCATTTCCTCCAATAGGCAGATTTTTGAAGAAGTTGTTCTAATAAGCTCTCTTTCCTTGTGGTTATGCAAGGAAGAGAAGGATAAAATGAATCAGTGTTTGAAAATACAAGAGCTGGTTAAATGAACATTGCACCTTACGCATATCAAAAGACCAAATAAAATTTGGTACTTAGTATCATGTAATATCCATCCATTATCTATCAGTCTATCTGTCTCTCTCTGCATATTAATCATGTAGTATTACATATACAGCCTTAATATCTACTTATTATAGCTATTGCAATTTTGTAAAACTAATATATTATTGGTAAAGATGTAATTATAATGATTCTGTCTACATACTGTTTCCTGTGAAACAGAAAAACTAATTGCTGAAGTACTTCTTTGTTCTGTTAATGATTATCAAGATTTTAAAGATCTATGAGTGAGTTCTAACAACTGTCGCTGAACAATAGAATTTTGCTTGTTTGATTTGATTTTGTTATCATCCCCTTTGGCTTCTACTCTAAATTGCCATCATTCTCAACATTTGACTCCCAATGTTTTCAGTGGAAAGCCTTGTCTCGTACTTCACTGAGAATGTTGTGGTGATCTGTCAATTGTTAGCCTTACCCCACACTTACTATGTATTGATATATGAGCATTTCCCTACCTCCATTTCCCATACTCGGAGGATGATGCAATTCCTCTTCCTGCTTGAAGCTGCACCCTCCCCTGGAGCTCTTGGTGCCGTTCCTCCCTCCCCATGTTCATTGTCCAATGTGGCTTCATCAATCATTCCTACACGTATCTGGATTTCTTAGCCTGATCTCTTCATTTGCTCTGATCCTAAGTTTATAACCCAAAGTCTTTCCTCTTCTTAAAAAACAAGCAAACCAAATGCTCCTTCAAAACAATAAAAAATAAGTTTGTACGTCCAAAAAGCAAAATGGACACAACAAACAAATCAGCCATTTTTGACTGAAATTCCCCCTTTGATGAATTTCATCTTTTTTTGGTCCATAAGTCATCTCCACTTTTCCATCTGCTCCTCACTTGTCAACTCTGAGCTCTCGTTTCCTCTCCCACTACTGGGCTGACACAGTTTGTGAAAGTTGCCCATGACCATTTAAACTATTTTATTGGACTTTTGCTAATTTTTTATTTTTAAATTATAGTTTATATTCAATATTATTTTGTATTAGTTTCAGGTGTGTAGCATAGTGGTTAGACAATCATCTACTTTACAAAATGGTCCCCTGATATTTTAAGTACCCACCTGACATCACCTATTTGCCAAATTTGAGAGAACTCATCACAACCTCCTTCCTTGTAGTTTTCTGGTAATCTCTTCTTGATCTTTTCCTTCTCTGCTCATTCCCTAAATGTTCATTTTCACCTTGTTTCATTCTCAAAATTTCCCTGGTCTCATTTGGCATCAAGAATTTTTAAACATGGGTTCTTTAGGAATCCACAAACACTTGAAACTGTGTGCAGGATTTTGGGTGTTTGGTTGTGTGCAATTTTCTAGTGAGAAAGCCCATAGTTCACAGCATATTCTCAATGGCATTAACATCTCTCAAAAGATTAATCATCATTATTTTTTGAGGTCTCCCAAGGTGATTTTAACAATTAATTTAATATTAAAAACTCATATACAGTGCTAAGTGAAGGTATAATAATTTTATTAAGGAACTCTCCCTTCAAAACAACTATGTGCAGTAGACATGATAATGCCCATTTTACAGATTAAGAAACTGAGGCATAGGGAGATTAAGTGACTTGGCTCAGGAGACACAATTAGTAGGTAGTTGTCATGGTTTTAACTCCCATTTATTCACCGATGATTCTCAAAGACATCTTCAGCCTATGTCTCTCTCAATTCACGTTCATAGATAACTCAATAAGCCATTTCCATGGAAGTCCCTATGGGCTCTCACACTCAACATTCTGGATACTAATTATTATCTTCTTTCCCAAAACGTTTCTTCCCTGTATTCTCCATTCAGGGACCATGCCATGGGACTCATATTCCTTGTGTCCCTTCCTAGTCTATGACCAATCTTCTGTCCCATTGAATTTTAATCCAATTATTGCTGCTTCAGTTTAAGACCTAGCCATTTCTCCCTTGGCATGATGTAACAATGTCTTAGCTGCCTACAACCCTTTGATAACACAGTGCTGTATGGTGACAGTATAAATGGGATGATAGGCCTTCCAGGTTCCAAACCCTATCTACCTCTCTAAAACCCTCTCCCTTCACATTAAATTCTCCCTCAGTTAACTGAATTACTTGGTGTTCCTCTTAGACACCTTGTTTTTTTCTCACTTTTACGTCTGTGCTCCTGTGCCCTCTGTTTGGAATACACTTTTCTTCCTTTGTTTTGTCCAGCTATGCCCTGTTCTTTCGCAGGTGTCACGTCACAAAGAGCCGTAGGTCTCCTTCCCTGTGCTAACATGATTTGCTGATGGAATAGGTGAGCAAGGGAAGAAATAAGGATGACTTCAAGGTTTTGGTTTCAGCAAGTACACAACGGGGATTGTCTTTCTTTGAGATGGGAAAGACTGAAGCTTCATGGACTAAAATCATGATCTAGCTTGGGATACAAGGAGTTTGAGTGACTATTAGATTTCCAAATGAAGTTATTGATTAGGCATTTGGTTAAATGAGACTGGAATTCACAGAAGCGGCCCAGAACAGAGATACATATCAGAATATAGATGGTGTTTAAAGACATGAGACTGAGTGAAAGTACCAAGGGTTTGAATGACAAAAGAGGAGAAGAGGCCCAAAGACTGAGTCTTGAGGTATCTATGTAGTAATAATCTGTTTATACATCTGTGTCCCCACCAAAGGATGAGGTTGTTGAGCTTCTGGGCTATGCTTTAGTCACACTTTTAAGCACCTTGCATAATGTAGGCATAAAGTTTGTTCAATAAATGCTTGTTGAATAAAATGAATGAGTGGACGGATGAGCTAAAATAAGTGATACTAAACAGAGGTCGCCAAGTAAATATATACAAGACTCGAGCAATAATGCAAGGAGATGTAGCAGCTTAGGGAGTGGTATTGGTCGTGGGAAATTGAGAAGTACATGCCTGGCAGAAGGGGGACGCCACTAATCAACACCATTTGATTACTGCCGCACACAAGTGTGGGTCACGTGTAACTATTTTCTTTTTCTGATTTCAAGAGAATATGGAAATCTCTGACTTTTTTCCCCTTTTAAAAAAAAAAAATAATATGGAACGCTTCACGGATTTGCCTGTCAGCCTTGCGCAGAGGCCATGCTAATCTCGGTATCGTTCCAATTTTAGTACATGTGCTGCTGCATTGAGCACAAATCTCTGACTTTTTAATTTAAAAAATTTTAAATTTTAAAAATTTTCTGTGAGTCAAGATTCTGCAGGTCAAATAAAATTTATCCTGAATTTGTTCATTGTTCTTCAGTTCATGACCTCTTATTAAGCAGTTCAACCTCATTTTATAGTGTATGAGAAGCAAGCTTCTGCATGATTAATTACTAGATAAGAAGCTAACCTTTACAGGCAGCAAATTACTCTAACGATTTGGGTAGGATTTAGGCTGTCTTTTAGTTTCAACAGAAATACAAAAATAAAAAAACCTGTAACCATGAAAGCTGCTCAATAAATAGTGTAATATATAGTGTCTTCTGCTTTAATTTGATTACTTAAGTCACTCCTTTAATTTGGATTCTGGAGATTTAATTACCGCATAGATCAGTTTTCCCATCTGAAAAATGGGGATAATTATGTTTGTCTTAATCATCCAACAGGTTTATTATGAGGATCAAATAAGATCATCTATATTTAAGTGATTTGACATGCTTAAATAGAATGCAGCTGTGATGTGTTGTTATCACATTGCTCCAGAGAGATGAATCCAGAATTAGGCAAAAATAATCATCTAAGATTAATAATTTTAGCCAGTTTGATAGTATATTATGGGGTTTTCCCAATGACATTAAATTGTTTTACTTCCAATTTAAATTTTACTAAACTGTGGCATCAAAATACATACAGAGTATTATAATATGGGGTGTCTTGTTAATGGAAAATTTAAAATATTTCTTTCATTGCACAAGATATGGCATCACTTAAGTACTTGAGAAATTAGGCAACACAGCTATGTCACTTTGAGAGGCAAAACCTAAGGGAAGGGTTACTATATGAGTTGAATGAGGTTACATAATCGGTTCAAGTAAAATCTAAAGTCATTAGGGCATACACTATAAAAGTGAAATTTTACAATAAAGTTTTTTGGTAACTCATTAGAAAAATACCATTGGCTGGGCTCTAAGGTGGCTCTGTCCTCTACAGAAGTCTGCTTCATACCATTTATTGATATTGTTGTGAAGTTGCACTGAGTTATTTTCTTCAGACTTTTAAAAACCTTTATTAAATACTGAATTTACAGAAATAGTCAACTTGTACTCTTAATATAATATATATTTTTCCAAGTAGTTTCTTTTTAAAATTTTATTTATTTACTTATATTGTTCAAGTACAGTTCTCTCCATTTCCCCCCCCCCCTTCCCCCACCCCACCCACCCCCGCCTCCCACCTTCAATCCCAACCCCTTTGACTATGTCCATGGGTCCTTTATACGTGTTCCTTGATCACCCTCCCTCAATTCTCCCCTGTCATCACCCTCCCACCTCCTTGCTGTTTACTGTCAGTTATTTATTTTAATGTCTCTGGTTATATTTTGCTTTTTCGTTCACTGAGTTATTTTTAAACAAATTTCTCCCCTCATTTAAAAAATATCTTATAGTCCTGCAGAATATTAAAAAATGCAGAAACTAAAAAGAAGAAAATAAAAATTACTAATAATTCCTATAACTAGAAATGTACACTGTACATATATCTTGGTATATTTTTTCTGGATATAGTCATGTGTGTGTATGTGTGAGTATATAAAGACACATCATATATACTATATATAGAGAAATATTTTTAGCAAAAGTGGAATCAAAGTATTAGGTTCTACTTATTTTTAGACATTGTATCATTAAACATTCTTTAAAAGTGTAATTTTAATGGCTTCTTATCTTTTCATCATAGTTTGTAATCTTGTGGAAAATACTTACTATGGGCTCTTTGATCATCTTTTCCTCTGATTGTAGAATTATTTATTTATGAATTCATATTGTGAAAGTAACAGTGGGAAAGTTTTAACAAGGATAGAAGGGTTTCATACTCTGAAATAAAATCTGCACATTTCTATAATGCTTTGATTAATGAACCATATTTAATCCATCAGCACCTAATTGCAAATTGTTTTTTCGGTTTGAACATATCAAATGGTCATTACAATTGCTCATAAAGTAATTAAAATGGTATAGTCAACTGGTGGGTTTTTTTTTTTTTTTTTTACAAACTTAACTACATCTTGTTAAAGAGACTTGATACAAGATGCACTCCTTAAAGCTTTGCCAGTTATTCTAAGTATTACTTATTATCTGAGGCTGATTTCATCCTTAAAATCGTGTCTTAGCAACCTAGTAATAAATACTTTCACTGCTATATGATTATATGTTTTCCTGAAGTTCCAGTTCATATAGTATGTCATTCTGTGGTGTTTTGTTATTCATGAAAAGCTAAATGGCTTTTAAAATCAATGTGTTAAGAAAATGTGATATTCGCTGCCTTGTTATTAATTTAGTATTGTTAAAAGTTGGTAATGTTGTATTTTTCTTGTTATACTGCAATGTGACAAGATACTCAGAAGCTAGAAAAAATCTTGGGCAAGTGGAATAGAGAAACTGAATCAAGAAAATTAAACAATGCCAAAAAATTTGAAAAACTTACAGCCAGTCAGTGAATTGCAAGACCTTATCTTTCCCAACCGAGAACACTTAAGAGTAAATAGTTTATACCTCTCCTCCCTAACCAGAGAATACATAGCCTAAATGACCCTGGCTGAGGAGATTGAGGACAGAGGCTCAAGAAATGCCATCTGTGCCAGCCAAATCCAAGGACAGATGAAGTCAGGGGGACAAATAACAAAAGCCCTAAAAAGCCAGACAGACCCAAGATAAAAGTAAAACAGTAAAGCAGACCAAAGAATAAACCCCAGCTCCCCTATATGCACATTTTGATACATTGGCATATTAAAAATGTACCTGGAAAGCTTTATGAACATTCTGCTGAAATCCTCCCATAAGATTCTCACCTGCAGAAGAGAGATACCTTCCTGGCCATGAACTTCTTTACTTCCTTCTAAACTCTAAGGGCCCCCACCAGTCTTACAACTAGAGGAGCAGTAGGCAGCAGCAGCTTGTCCTGAGGTTACCCCCTCATCTTTTCGCCAAGTGCCCCTTTTCTCTGACTTCCCGGTGAGCTGACAGCAGCCCCCGCTTGGCTCACTGCTTCCCTATAGTGTTTCTAGGGAGCCAAAGCAGAGCACCGCCTGGGCTCTCTCCTGCTGCTTTTTCTACTCTAAGCCCTTCTTTTGTTTTACTGTCCCCAGCTTTATTAAACATACTCTCAGGATCACCGGGACTCATGCTGTGAAATCTTCCCTGCATGAAGTCAAGGACCCGCACACTACAGGGCAGCCTCAGGCAGACCTGCTCTGGGCCTGGTCCCTGTTCAGGACAGCAAGAAGCATTTCTTGTCACTCATTTTCCTGTTCATTGTTTTCTTCTAAAAGTTCAGAAAAGATTGTTTAACTGTCAGTTCTACACAATTGAAATTATGTACAAGTATGGAAAGTTTGGTGGATTTCTTTGTTGTAGGTTTTGTTTTTATAATAATGTCTAAGGTAGAATAAATCTTAAGTGGCACCTTTTCCCCTTCCGTGCAGCTGGGACAGTTAAGGGACACCACAGTGATCCTGGACCTGAAAAGTCCTCCCAGCCTCTGCTCTCAAAGAGCTCACCCTTGTTCAGTGGGAAGGTATGTATTTGTAGGAACTAGGACATTTGTTTCATTTTTAATCCAAACTAAGAAATATCCTGGTGTGTTCATAAGGAATAACCTATTTAACATAATACATAGAACTTTGGTGAGCTTTTAACAGAAATTGGAGAAATGGCCTTCTTTTATTCTTTTCACAATAGAGACTAAAAAAATCAGCTTTTTAAACATAAACCCCCAAAGGTTCATTAACTCTCTGTATGAATAAATGTAGTGAAACTTTTTTTGTCTTTTATAGTAATACTAGAAGTCAGCAAACTTTATTTTTCCGTTAATATTTCTAGTATTATGTGATAAACATTTGTATATGCAAGTGAAAAATTTCATTATTTTAAATAAAAAATTAATTTTCTGACAAGGAGGTGTTGATAGAGCAATAAAAGAAGACAGGACAAAGAGACTTTAAAAAAATTAAAGGCAAGTATATTAACAGTTTGGAAAATATTAGTGTGCTTTTTCTCTAAAATACCATACATATATCTCTAATTGACTGAAACTATTCACAACTGCTCTCTTCTGTTTCTGATGGCTTGATTGTCAGCATCGCCTCTTTGCTCTTTCAGTCTCCCAACAAAAATGCAACCAATTCCCTATATTAGCTCTCCATGTTAGAAAATACTTGATGTGTTTTGTTTTTCTGATTGGACACAGACTGCAACTTTATATTTTATTTTATTTTTTAAAATATTATATTTGTTTTTAGAGAGGGGACGGGAGGGAGAAAGAGAGGGAGAGAAACATCAATGTGTGGTTGCCTCTTGCGTGCGCCCGACTGGAGGACCTGGCCTGCAATCAAGACATGTGCCCTGACTGGGGATTGAACCGGCGACCTTTTGTTTTGCAGGCCAGCACTCAATCCACTGAGCCACACCAGCCGGGTGAAACATTATATTTTAAACTGAATAAAGATAACAGTTTATTTTTTCCCCTCTTCTTAATTTGTGGCTGGCACTAGACCACTTTAAATTGAGGCAAAATAATTGAAGTACATTTTCTCTGAATATCTGAATTTCAGTGTGAGTACAATTTGCAATTCAATTATACACCTCCACTTCTACCTTTGATCATTAGAGCTTCATTTAGGATCAATGTTTCTTTGTCACAGTTCTGCTAATGAAACTTAACAATTCGGAACAAGGCAATCCCAGAGTTTTCAAGGCTTTTTTTTTTTTTTTTAAATAATTACTGTTCAGGAAAAATGTATCAGTAGACACAGTTTTCTGAAACTGTAAATTGGTTCCCTTTTAATATTAAGATACTATGTATTATTGTTTTCATATAAATCACATCATGGCTTTTAGTATTTTTCCATTTATTTAGAAATATGTGATACCTTTCTAATACAATCAACCCAGCAGTTGTTTTTAATCAGCATTCTCTATTCTGCCTCTTACCAAATC